GTGTGAGTGTGAGTGAGTGTGAGATCTGGGCCATCAGATGGAGAACATCTCTGAACAGAATCATTGAAAATATCCAAAAAGAGAACAGTTGGGGGGAGGGTCCCCTACTCCGCGTGTCGGCCGCGATGTTTCAGGAGGGTGGAGGACTGAGTGAAGCCCTTCCCGCACACCGGGCAGGTGAACGGCCTCTCCCCGGTGTGGACCCGCTGGTGCCTCACCAGGTTGGAGGACTGGGTGAAGCCCTTCCCGCAGACCGAGCAAGGGAACGGCCTCTCCCCGGTGTGGACCCGCTTGTGAGCCAGCAAAGTGCTGGACTGGCTGAAGCCCTTGCCGCACACCGAGCAGGAGAACGGCCTCTCCCCGGTGTGGACCCGCCAGTGCTTCTGCAGGCTGGACGACTCGCTGAATCCCGTCCCGCACACCGGGCAGCTGAACGGTCTCTCCCCGGTGTGAGCCCGCCGGTGGGTCAGGAGGTGGGACAACTGGGCGAAGCCCCTGCCGCACACCGAGCAGGAGAACGGCCTCTCCCCGGTGTGGACCCGCCGGTGGGTCTGAAGGTGGGAGAACCGGCTGAACGCCTTCCCGCACTCGGAGCAAGAGAACGGCCTCTCCCCGGACTGTAGCCGCCCGTGAGCCGGAGGGACGGGAGAGGCGGGGAACCCCTTCCCGCTGGCCGGCCGAGCGGGGAGCCTGTGGGCGGAGTGGGCCCTCCGGTGGGTCAGCAGGGCGGACGAGTTGCTGAATCCTTTCCCGCACACGGTGCAGGTGAACGGCCTCTCCCCGGTGTGGACCCGCCGGTGGATCAGGAGGTGGGAGGAATCACTGAAGCCTTTCCCGCACACCGAGCAGGAGAACGGCCACTCCCCGGTGTGGACCCGCTGGTGGGTCACCAGCGACGACGAGTTGGTGAATCCCTTCCCGCAGACGGGGCAGGAGAACGGCCTCTCCCCGGTGTGGACCCGCTGGTGGATCTCCAGCCTGGACGGAGCTTTGAACCCCTTCCCGCAGTCCCCACATTTCCACGGTTTCTCCATCCTGGATCCCTTGCGTCTCTCCGGTTTGGTGACTGGGTCTCCCCGCCGGGAATGGCGAGGTACTCACTCAGTTACAACTGCTTCAAACGCGTCGGTGTCGTGATGCTTTCACAGTCACGCTGGCAGAATGGACAATATTTCTCATTCCGCGTTAGAAGGCTGTCGCCAAAATAAAAAACAAACAAAAACTTGAGTGACTCCGTCAGATCTTCGGTTTGAGATTCGTCTGTAGGTCGTTCCCCTTTTAACGTCCTGCAAAAGGTGATCACACAGTCAGTCCGGGGGAGAAACTCAAAACAGAAACTCTGGCTCCCATGGGCACATTCTGTCCCCTCTGGTTCAGCCAAAGCTATAGATCTCCATCGCACACAGTCACTCTCCCTCCACTCTCACTCTCACATATTCCCCTCTCCCCTTTCTCCTGAAGGTGCTGATTCATGGCAATTCTCATAGACCACACACCCATCTCCTCCTATCCGGGGCCACACAGACCCAAAAATCTTCAACCAGGCAGCTCGCCTGTTGATATAGAACTAAACTGAATCTGTGTTGCAACGTCAGTTAGAGATACAACACTGTATGTGCAGCGAGTGGTCCTGGTGGCCTGGAACACAGCGTTCATGAGGCGGGTGAAAACAGAGTTGGGCAATGAATTCAAAATGAGACTGGACGCGCATTTGGAGGATGACAGCAACATTGAGCAGGAATGAGATTAAATAGATTGTTAAACTGAGGGTCGCTGTAGGATCAAGCGGCTGAATGGACTCATTCCGTGCACTCGGGAAAATACATAACATAGCTAAAGGACTACGTTACAAAATGAGAAATATTAATTAACATATTTTACTTGAGGAACATAAATATGTATATAGTACGATATTTTGTGCATTTTTGACACGAGATAAGTCTCTCTCTGATATTAACTTACAATCCCCCTACATTCAGTCATCTCCCAGGGAAATAACCCCTTTATTTAGGAGAGAGACCATCCTTTTAGCAAGGCAAACAAATGCATTTTGTTGGGGGAGCAAAGGATGTCAATGTCTTTAAGAGAGAGACCTAGACCAACCATTTCCAGAGTCTGCCTCCTCCCTGGATTCACCCTCTTTATCTCCAGTTACTACAAATCAGCGAATTCAGCCCCAGAATGAGAAAAGAAATAGAAAAGGATGTGAATGAGAAAAGAGAGTGTTGTGCTCACAGATGATGGACAGAGGAGGAAGTTGCAGTCTAGAGCGAAGCTCAATCTTCATTCAGACAGAGAGAGGAGCAACAGCAACAGCTTCAGGAGCTCATTGTCAACTTCCGCATTCAGGCAATAGTGGAGCTGTGATTGGCAGGAGGACCAGACGCCTTCCGGTCCTCCAGGGCTTTCCATTGGTCAACCGGGGCCCGGCCCTTTGTGACGACACCGCCCGGCCCCGCACATGCGCAGTCCCTCAGCCCTCCCCGGGAACCTTGGAGTCCCAGCAGCAGGTTTTGCTGCAGATTGTCCCAGTGTTGTTTGAAAGGACAGCACTTTGCACAGGATAGACCAGGGGCATTTTCAACTAGGGACCAGCATCAATGCACACCCTCAGGGGACACACACGCTGCTGCATTTTATCCTCCTTCATTCCAGGCACCGTCTCCTTCCTTTGGTGTTGGCGTCACTCCGTTTGCGTCCAGTGCCACTGTTTCACCTCCAGCTCCCACAAACTCCTCTCTGCCACTGTCTCTGCTTCAATCAGCGCTAGGTCAGACTTAGCTCATCATCCCACATTCATCCCCAACTACGTTCCGGGATTCTCAGATTTTCCCTGCCCATGGGATGTCTGTTTGTGACAAATGATGTGAGGCACCACTGTGACCAGAAAAGCTCAAAGTCAAACCAATTGGGAGTGCTCTAGAGAACTGACTGCAGAAAGAGCTTTAACCAGGTCCATAGTCTGAAAACACGTCCTGCTTTTCCAAGTGGGAGAGTTTGTACACGTGTCCTGTGTGTGTTTGTGGCTTCAACTCATCATTGAATTAAGGTTTGGAGCTCAGGTTGTGGGTGTTGAGGTTGGTTGGCTCGCCGAGCTGGTTTGTTGTGCAGCCTCTGATGAAGCGTCGGTGTGTTTTCCCGCCTGGCTTTTAAACTCTGGGGTCCGTTGCGATGGGTTGCCTCACTTCCGGGTTTCCTCCTCACTGGAATGTATACGGGGTCGAGTTCAATGTGTTTATTAAAAGCATGCTTCGTGGAGTGCCATGCTTCCAGGAATTCTCGTGCTTGTCTCTGCCTAGCCTGTCCCAGGATCTTGGTGTTGTCCCAGTCGAAGTCGTGGTTCTCCTTGTCCATGTGGATTGAGAGGAGTGAGTATTGGTCGTGTCTTTTTGTAGTCAGTTGGTGTTCATGTACTCTTGTTATTAGTTTCCTTAAAATGTGGCATAAAAGAACACACTGTATATCTCTGTCTGATGTCAATTTGCTGTCCCTTTAAATGCCGGCCATCTCCTAGAAATCCGCCCCTTTAATTGCGAACTTAAAGGAAGAGGCCGTCCTTTGAGCCAGATGTGTTAAGCTGAGGGAGCAAAGGATGTCAATATCTTAAAAGAGAGAATGAGACCTGGATCAAACTTTCCAGAGTCTGCCCCCACTGTGGATTCACTCCCTTTCCCTCCACTTGCTGCAATACAACACTTAAACCCCAGAATGAGAAAAGACATGGAAAAGGGTGTGGGTGAGAAAAGAGAGTGCTGTGCTCACAGATGTTGGACAGAGGAGGAAGTTGCAGTCTGGGGGTGAAGCTCAATCTTCATTCAGACAGAGAGGAGCAGAAGCAGGAGCTTTGCTGAGCAGCAATGGGGCAGCTTCAGGAGCTCACTGTCCAACTTCCACATTCAGACAATGGGGGAGCTCTGATTGGCAGGAGGACCAGACTCCTTCCGGTCCTCCAAGGCTTCCCATAGGCGAACCGTGTCCCGGCCCTTTGTGACGACACCGCCCGGCCCCGCACATGCGCAGTCCCTCAGCCCTCCCCCGGAACCTTGGAGTCCCAGCAGCAGGTTTTGTTGCAGATTGTCCCAGTGTTGTTTGAAAGGACAGCACTTTGCACAGGATAGACCAGGGGCATTTTCAACTAGGGACCAGCATCAATGCACACCCTCAGGGGACACACACGCTGCTGCATTTTATCCTCCTTCATTCCAGGCACCGTCTCCTTCCTTTGGTGTTGGCGTCACTCCGTTTGCGTCCAGTGCCACTGTCTCACCTCCAGCTCCCACAAACTCCTCTCTGCCACTGTCTCCCTGTCTCTGCTTCAGTCAGCACTAGATCGGAGACAGACTCAGAATCTCTGTTACTCTCACCAACATTTATCCAGAGGAAGCTCATCGTCCCACATTCCTCCCCCATCTACTGGATTTTCCAGTCTACGGAATTCCGGGAACTTTTTTTTCCAGCTCTGAAGGCCATTGGCTCAGTCGGCTGGATTGCGGTGCAGCCTGATGCCAACGGCCTCAGTTCAATTCCCAATCCAACTGAGGTTATCAGGAAGGACTGTCCTTCTTAACCTGTCCCCTTGTTTGAGGCGTGGTGACCCTCAGGCTAAACCACTACCAGTCGTCTCTTTCCCTCGAATGAGACAGCAGCCCCTACGGTCTGGTAGGACTAAGGCGACTTAATTTTTATTCCATTTTCTCTCTCACTTCACAAAATACCTTGTTTTGCCTGTATGATATTGATTAGAGTTTGCTGAGGATATCATTGGCCCTCGAATGTGGAAGGAAAAATGTTTTTCTGTTTTGCATTTTTGAAAAGATATTAAACATAAGGACTGGGAAAGCACAGAGACACACACACATATACCTGACTGCATGTGTGCACTGAGTATGCAAAGGCTTCAGCCAAATCACAGGTTAAAACAATGATACTGTTCACAGCAGGCAGTTTGTTGTGTGTCTGGATGAAGCTTCAGTGATTTGTCGAATCTAGATTGGGAAGGAAATCTGCGACATGGAGAAAGCGTGTAAATGTGGGGACTGCGGGAGGACAGTCCAGTCCCTATCTGAACTGGAAACTTGCCAATGCAGTCACACCAACAAGAGGTGGTTCAGCTTCTCTGAGCGTGGGTAGGGACTCGCTCAGTCAACCACCCTGCTGAGGCGCCAGCGAGTTCACTCTGGGGAGAGGCCGTTTGCTCACTCAGTGTGCGGGAACATGTTCGGTCAATCACCTACTCTGCGGAGACATCAGATCAGTCACGCCGCTGAGAGCCAGCCTTTTAATAGCTCTGATTGTGGGGCTATCTTTAAAAGCCTCCTCTAGGACCCGACAGTTCACCAGCGCATCCACACTGGAGGGAGACAAAGAAGTTCAGCACATCATCCGACCTCCAGAGGCACCAGCGAATAGCACTGGGGAGAGGCTGTTCCCTTGCCATATCTGATGGCAAGGGTTCCATTTGATGTCAGGGCTTGGACTGCAAGGTTACTGATTCTATTGATCACATCCAGGACTGAACCAGCTTATATCCAAATCTGTGCACAATTACGACACTTGTATCTCTCTCGCATATTGTATGTTTCACAACCTATTCTATGTTTTTTGAAGTGAAGTCACTTGTGGGTCAGCCTGGCAACTCAAATTTTGTTTAAAAATTTAGACCCTTTCAAAATGTGGAATTAAAATTGCTTGTGTACAGTTCTGGAAGCCACGCTACCAGAATGATGTGGATGCTTTGAAGAGGGTACAGAAAAGGTTAACCGGGATGTTGCCTGCTAGGAAGGGGCATTCAGTGTAAGGATAGCCAAGTTATGCTGCTGTTTTCTAGAACTTTACAAAAACCAAGTTTCTTGGAAAAGCCCGGCGGTTTTGGCGGCTTTTGTGAGGGTAAAAACAGAGTTAACGTTTCGGGTCCGGTGACCCTTCCTCAGGTGTTCTGAGGAA